TCGTTCAGCATCCCTGGCATCTTCGCACTCATGTATTGCATCCCAGTTACGCATGACAGATAGGCTTTGTTGGTCAAAGTCATAGGCCTGAAATAAAGATTCAAAAGTGTCATTAGCACACAGTAAATCTTCTGATACACTAAACGGTTTGAAATGAGCTAGCACAAACGGGAAATATTCTTCTGTATTCCGGGGCGAGGGTATGGATTGTCCAACAACTCTAGGTACCAAATGCCGATTGTCTTCTCCTCGATCTTCATTGGTGTGCTCTATCAAATGATGACTGTTGACCAAAGGATGCGGAGCTAGAAGACAATGTCTCTGATAAGCGTTCGCAGAAGGGGTCTCAAGGTCATAACCAGGGTCGCATTGCTTTTTGCTATTTCTTTTAAGCTCTACACACCGCGCAAATTGGTAGAAATTTAAATGCTTAAGGGATAACGACCTGTATACATAGTCATGAATCTGATTGGACTCAACTAGTTCACCATGAGCATCAATAGAAAGACGCAGAGCAGATCGCTCGGGTGGTCCATCAGATTTTCCATTCAAATTATCCTCTACGCTGTCAGTAGAAGATACTGCGGTGGTGGAGTAAGTTCTATTAACATAAGAAAGGAGTTGAGCTGACATCATGGGTACAGTGTGATGTGAAGACATTGTGTCATCCAGTCCTCGTATATATCTTGCCGCTTGCTGAGCGTGGATTTGTTGTTCTCGGCTGAATTGCGTTAAGCATTTGTGCAATAAAGTTCTTGCTTGATCTTTTGCGGACAGATGCTGATCGGTAGGCATTTGACTTACTACCTTTGACAATAAGGACAATTGCTCATGTGTATTTACACTCATCTTTGTGATGTAGTCGCTGATGTAGCACATTGCGGCCTTAGCTGCTTTTCCTGATAATATACATTTAAGATCATGATTATGACGAGTACAAATGAGTATATACCTGTTGTGAAAATTGACATTAGTATCACGACACACCAGTGCTATAGAATTCGTCTCAGAGTCAAAGTACGAGAACTCTATAATCTCATGTGGGAAAAGAAAACGACAGCGGGATTCATTTCCATACTTATGACATACTGGTTTGCAGACATGTCGCTGCAACATTTCCCCTGTTTTTTTAACTTCGGTTACAAACAAGGACTCCCATTCGTTCAATACATTCAGCGGCACAGCTGTAGACCTTGGTGGTAAGGGAGGACGTTCAGTTCGCGGCTCATAGGAAGACCCAACTTCGATCTCAACGTCTGGGAGATCTTGGTGTATGACATCTTCGAAATAATCAAAAAACTGTTTCTCAAAACCGGGATTATTCCGCAACTTTTCATGTAAGTCTGACGGATTGAGCGCACCAATTAACCAAATTAGAAAGTGACCATGCAGACATCCTCTCTCTGTATACTCTGCCGTTCCGTAGAAAGCTTTGAGATGACCAAGAATACCTCCATTCACAGACGATTCTCGTTTGCTATAGTCCCATCCGAAAAGATGTTGAAATATGCAGGAAATTGAGAAGTCAAAAAAATCGGCTGCGGCGACGGGATCATGAGCTAATCGTAGAGCTCGATCATGAGGAGGGGCCATAACTGGGAACCGTTTTGTAAGATCCACGGTCTCATTGCCATACATGACCTGAAAAATAGGACTATGGGAAGGATTAGGATTTGCGGTAAAAAACAGAGAGGGCAAACCAAAGTAACCCATGTAGTTTCAAATTTCGTTCCGTACGAAAATCTTCGATGCCTGAGATCCCGGAACTCGTGCTGAGATTGTATTAACATGATTCAGCAGTTGGAGAGCCTTTCGCTGCTCATCGCTGAGACTTTCAACCGATCCTTCCTGTTCTATGTGCTTTGCAGTAGACTCTAAGACAGAGGAAGAAATATTAACGAGATCGTGAGCCACTTGATCAAAAGAATCTTTTTTTACCGAAAAAGAAGTATGCAGATGAGCTGCTCTCCTTTGAAGGATGTTGAAAGCAACAAACATAAATGCATGATGATATCGAAATGCGCGATCGGGAATATCGAAGTAACTTGCAGCCTGGGAACGGAAAGAAATCGAAGTACGTCTGGTAGGATCTTCAAATCCACCGATTCCAAAGGGAAACAAAGAGGGATACATGCCCATAATCAAGGCAGGGTTTTTATACTCCAAAATGGGGCTACCACCATGATGGATGACGATATCAGGTTCACGGCTTTGCTTGTCAAATTTTGGGATAAGATTTCTTAACCCCGATGCAATAAATTGACGCCCAGATACTCTATCTAATTCAGAATCACTGACACCAAGTTTCTCAATAAAAATCTCTCCAGAATAATCATCACGGTCAGTCAAATTGTCAGCAGGATGTTCTGCTAACCCCGCTGATTCCTCTGCGAATATTTGATCTGGCAACTGGTGATGGTCTTCAATCACGCGTTCCTCCACACCAGGTAAAGCACCATCGTCTGGGAATGCACTGAGTCGTGTCATATCGATAGGTATACTCTCAAAAAGTCGGTTATGTTGCTTTAGAAACATTAACCACGCTTGAATTTTATGCTTTCGCACTCTGAAGATAGAATTTAAATTTTTACAGTCAAACTTTTCTGGACCTATGAAGACAACAGAGAGAGCATCATTAATATCCGCAATTGTACGTGGAAGAACAGACGCGATGGAAACTACGTTCATCTCGTGAGCACATGTATTGCCATGCATGACCCTAGCTACAGAAGGATCAGTAGAGTTAAAGAGACGAGTAACATGAGCGGTAGCTCGATAAATAGCACAGACCATCTCTTCAACCCATGTAAGGTCATGAAACTCGATTGGTAGGGAACCGCGATAGAGATTATTGGCAAGAGCCAATCGCGGCATCCTTTCAGCTAACAGCGATGATCTACACTGGTTACAAATATCCACGCTGAAAATTTTCTGATTATTCACGTGAACTCCTTGTTTGCACAACATGAGTCCATCAAGACGCCTATGACCAAAGACAAATTCTGACGATACCTGTTGTATAATACAATGATTGATGATAAATTCATCTTGTATGCGAACAACCTCGAGATGAAGAGAAAGCTCAATATCAGATGCCGCTTCATTTTCTATTACAAAAGTAGACCCTATTTTTTCATATTGCGATAGAGAACATACCACACATGTTAAGCCTTTACTCCAAAGACTTCCTTGAAAATACTGATGCATACATGCAAATATGATGTCCTTTGCTACACGCTGAGGCCAATTGGCAATGATGTCGTCGTAACGCGAACGCTTTTCAGCTATTAGTCCTGCTTTTATAAACAACTTATGCTGTTTAATGAGCTGGTGACAATCAACAGAACCATGAGAAAATACCTGGATGACGTCGTGTCCAAGTAAATACGTGAACATAGATGTAATGAAGTCAACTGGAGATTGCAACTTGATCTCAATATCGGGGTCGGAACTGAAGACATGTGAGTAGAAAGTAGATTGATCAGCTTGAACTAGGAATAACGTGTAAGATCGCACGGAAGATGATAACGCTTTAGCAAATCCGGACTTTGCAGATCCCAAAACAGAGGGACGAACTGAAGGATGGACACATTTAAGTGATGATTTTAACAAATCAGATGGCAATCTTGAAAGTCGAGAGACGATAAGGTCGTCATTCTCGCACATCCAAGGCAATTGCGCAACAATTGCGCTGTCCACAAAAGAAGAGTCGGAATACCATACTGGAGAACGTATTGCATTCATGATGATTTTCCCGAACGCGGCATCAAAGATATCGCATATTAGAAGAAATCGAAACCTAGATTTATTTCCCCCGTTAAGTTCAAACAGCTCTTGGTCTGAACAAGCAATCAATTGATCGATTTTCTTCCTCACCTGATACAATATAGCAGTGACCAAATCTTTTTTTCGCCTTCTGCTCTTCCCTGATAATTCTTCTGCCGGCATATTTACTAGACAAGCTTTCATTTGCGAAACAGTGAGATCAGATATGCCAAAGAAAGCTGCAGTTCAGAATAAAAATACCAACATGGATTACTAGACAAAACAGAGACAACTCCAGGCAACATTACGCTGTTCATTCTTCGGGTTGGTTTACCGTCGTGATCGACGCACAGTTTATTGTCGTGAGCGACTGGGAGTTTATTGTCGTGAGCGACCAATAAGTGAGAATAGTCAAGTCAACGTTCGTCATGGTCTTATGACGAACACAATATTAGTCATATTGTCTCACGGTGACACAGTGGTTGGCGTGGCCGTGAAAAGTCTTCCCCCCAGAACCCTCCTCTCCCTTAGAGAGTCGGGGAAGGCAATACTTTCCGATGTCGAAAGTTTTTGTATAGGCAACTTAGAAAAGGCGGTAAAAAGATGATGAACGATTCCACTCAAGGGCCTCGTAAT